GCGGCGACGGCCGGCGCTCGGCGGGGGGCCTGGGGGGCGGCGCTTTTTTTTGCTGCTTGGGGCAGCAAAAAAGCTAGAGCCGGCCCTGGTCTCTGTGGAATGATGTAGCTGTGCCACTGCCCATATCTTTTTGCCAAGTTATTGAATAACATTTCAGATTGATTTATAATGTATATGACACAATGAATAAATCATTGCCATATTCCAACTCCTCTACTTGTACACCCTGCCACAGGTCAGGGCAACTGCACCTCTAGTCCCTTTTTATGGTCCACCAAGGGTACCCACTCTCAGACTTCTGGCTCCTCAGCCTGCACCTTTCTTGGATTGAGATGTGCATCTCTCTCCCCCTCCTGGCCAGGGTTTCTTCAGGCTGCACAATTCCCTGCCTACACTGAGAGTTCCCCAGCAAGTCAGACCATCTAAGTAGACCTGCTTTGCTTTCTCTTTAAAGGTTTTAAGCAACATAGTTGCCCACAATTATAAGTTACCACACAGCTTTTCCTAAGCTGCTGCTTATTTTTAATAGGAAAGCATAACAGAGCAAACATTAAAACAATAAAAGAACCCACACCTGCTAGTAAGCTTACCAGAGATCACCCTAACTCCAGCAAGGGCTATGGTAGGAGTCAGTCCTTTAAAACCCTACACAGGAGTTTTTCCTGTGGTTACAACTTCATAATGGCCTTGGCTCGGGACAAGCAACACTATGAATCTAGGAGTCACTCTTTTATACAATTTGAGCCTCTGGTCTTGTCCTCTTGTAACAGCTGATCAGCAGACAAAAGTCCCCTTCTCAAGGCGAAGGTTGAAAAGGCTGAGTTCTTGCATAAGTGGAGGGAGTATATTTGCATACCCCTTCCCTAGAGACTTTATGGGAAACTCACTCAACTTTAAGTGTTCATTCTTGCCTGGCACACAATTTCAAAAGTCTTTTGAAGGTCATAACACTTCCCAGGGTTTATGCTAGCTATGTCTCCCCCCGGAGATATTACACAATAATATGTAAACATTTGCATTTTTAATACAATGAATTACTAAAATATTTAAACTTAATTCAATACAGCTTGGTTTAACGTTATACGGTAAGGTTTGTCTAGGACATTGCAGGAAATTGTCATCTCTAACCATATCCATCATTTTAGGTGCACAGTGGGAGGGTGATTGACAGGTGAGGAAGCAGGGAGCATGTACTGGGAAAATGGGCGGAGAACCTGAAGCCCGTGCCTTTGAAAGAGCAGGGAGTGACTTGCAAGAGGAGGTATCCACCATGCAGACATTCTAAGCTGTGCAGTAATAGAGTGGGACTGTGGAGCTATTTGTAGCTGGAGCCTGTCCCAAGAGCAGTTCTTTAAAGATATTGAGGCATGAAGCCCCACTCCTGGCAACGTCCTCCTACTGCATGTAAAACAGTTGTTTCTTTCTCTGCTTGGCTCCCCTTCTCCAGTTTATGAACCATAGCGATGGCTGAATGATTGCACGCACACTGCAGCAGCACTCTGTTGCTGCACAACTTAGGACCTTAAGTATCAGGGGGTAGCCATGCTAGTCTGTATCCACAAAAACAACGAGGAGTCCAGTGGCACCTTAAAGACTAACATTTATTTGGCAACAAGCTTTTGTGGGTAAAAAACCCACTTCTTCAGATGCATGGAGTGAAAATTACAGATGCAGGCATAAATATACTGACACATGACAAGAAGGGAGTTACCTTACAAGTAGAGAACCAGTGTTGACAGGGTCAATTCAATCAGGGTGGATGTGGTCCACTCACAATAATTGATGAGGAGGTGTCTTCTATGGAGAAAACACCCATGGGTTCTGGAGCAATAGCACAGGGAACCAGCTCTCTGGACTCTTCACCCTACTAGCACAGTTCCCCAGCAGCCCTGACATTCCTAGCTTTCTTCCCTACCTCCCACTTGGAGCTGGTGGAAATTGGGATTTTTCCTCTGTAGAAAACTAACTTTTTGCTGAAAAACACCAAACGAATATTTTGGCCACATTCTTGAATTTTAATTTCCCAATGAATATCTTAGGCCAGGTCTACACTACCCCCCTAATTCGAACTAAGGTACACAACTTCAGCTACGTGA